GGTCAGCCTTTTAAACCTATGAACATCAGGTTCCTATGTCCTAAGGGGAGGGGGGAACAATTCTAATCATTAAAGGAATGTAGACCAGCATCCTACTTTAGACTATGCACAGCGTTGTCCATAAAACAGCATTGTGCCCAGAGTTCTTTACAAACACTATGTGCTTGCTTACATGGAGTGAGAACTGTAGTAGGAATGAAAAAGCTTGTAAAGCTGCCTATATTGGTGGGTGTGGAGGCATACACACACACACACACACAATGCCTGGAGGTTTGATGGGGTTCATCAGTAACTGTATATACTATGTCACTGGCCATTGTTTGGCCCTAAGTATGAGCATGAATTTATGAATTACACATACAATTAAAAAATAAGTAAAGAGGAATAATGGGTTTTTTTAAGGCCAGAACCAAAATATATATTCTGGCAGACACTTCCTGCCACCAAATCCCCAGAGAGACCTGGAGGCAGAACAAAGCATCCAGCATCAGCCAACATTCCTGTCTTGCCCTTGAACTCTCAGGGAGAGAGGAGAGGATAGAGCCTTGAACCCATACCCACCCAAAGAGGGGGAAACCCCTCATGTACCCACTGAAATAAGAGATGGGAAGAAGACATTATAAGAACACATCCAACAACAAAAAAACTTATACGACACCATCAGAGTCTAGGGATTCTATGCCAACAAGACATGAACATCCCAATGCAGATAAAGTAGAAGAGAATGACCTTAAAAATAATGTCATTAAAAAGATAGAGGAACTCATAGAGGGTATGAGAAAATCCCTTAAATAAATGGAAGAAAAAGCAAACCAAAAAAATGTAAGAAATCAACAAATCACTTAAATAAAGCAAGAAAAGCCAAGAAATAAACAATTAAACAGATGAAGGAAACAATTCGAACAGTTCAAGACCTGAAAACTGAAATAGAGACAATAATGAAAACACAAACTGAGGGGATGCTGGAAATAGAAAATCTGGGTAAATGATCAGGAACTACAGACGCAAGCATAACCAACAAAATACAAGAGATGGAAGAGAGAATCTCAGGCACTGAAGATAAACTAAATAGATTCATCAACCAAAGGAAACCTTAAATCCAAGAAATTCTTAACACAAAATATCCAGGAAATGTGGGACACTGTAAAAAGATCAAATCCAAGAATAACACATATAGAAGGCAAAGAAGCTCAGCTCAAAGGTGCAGAAAACATATTCAACAAAATCATAGAATAAAACTTAACCAAACTGAAGAAGGACATGCCTACGAAAGTACAAGAAGCTTATCAAACACCAAATAAACTGGACCAAAAAATAAGACAACAAAAGGAGCTCAAAAGGATACAAATTGGAAAGGAAGATGTCAAACTGTCACTATTTGCAGATGATATGATAGTTTACATAAGTGATCTGAAAAATTCTACCAGGGAACTCCTACAGCTGATAAACACATTCAGCAAATAGGCAGGATACAAAATTAACTCAAAAAATCAGTAACCCTACTATATACAGATGATAAAGGGGCTGATAAAGAAATCAGAGAAACATCACCCTTTACAATAGCCACAAACAACATAAAATACCTTGGGGTAATGCTATCTAAACAAGTGAAAGACCTGTATGGCAAGAACTTTGGGTCTTTCAAGAAAGAAATTAAAAAAGATAGGAGAAAATGGAGTACTACTCAGAAGAAAAAAACAATGGACTCTTGAAATTCACATGCAAATGGATGGAACTGGAAGAAACTATTCTGAGTGAGGTAGCCCACTCACAAAAAGACAAATATGAAATATACTCACTCATATATGGATTTTAGACATCAAGCAAAGGATTACCACCAGAGAATCAAGGAAACAAAGAGGACCCTAATAGAGACATACATGGTCCCCCCAGAGAAGGGGAAAAGGACATGATCTCCTGAGCAAATTGGGAGCAGAGGGGAGGGGAGAGGGAGTTAGGAGAAAAAGAAGGGAAGAAGTTGAGGGGAGAGAAGAACATGAGGAGAGCAATAAAAGAGATACCTTAAAAGAGGGAGCCATTATAGGTTTAAAAAGAAATCTGGCACTAGGGAAATGTCCAGAGATATACTAAGATGACCCCAACTAACAATCTAAGCAATAGTGGTAAGGCTACCTTAAATGCCCTTCCCTGATAATGAGATTGATGACTACCTTATATGCCATCCTAGAACCTTCATCCAGTAGCTAACAGAAGCAGAGGCAGACACCCACAACTGAACATTGAGCCAAGCTCCTGAAATCCAGTTGCAGAGAGGGAAAAGTAATGAACAAAGGAGTCAAGAACAGGCTGAAAAAACCCACAGAAACAGCTGTCCTGAACAAGAGGGAACTCATGGGCCCCCAACTGATAGCTGGGAATCCAGCATAGGACCTACCCAGATCCCCTGAATGTGGATTTCAGTTAGGAGACCTGGGGAACCTATGGGATTTCTGACAGTGAACTAGGATGTATCCCTAGTGCAAGAATGGATGTTGGGAGCCCATTCCCCATGAAAGAATATTCTCTTAGCCTAGATACATGGGGGAGGGCCTAGGCCTACCCCAAATGACTTGACAGATTTTGATAATCCCTCATGGATGGCCTCACCCTCCCTGGGGAGTGGATGGGGGATGGGATGGGGAGGTTACTGAGGGGGCATGAGAGGATGGGAAGGAGAGGGAATTGATATGTAAAATAAGAAAAAGTATTTAATAATAATAAATGTATATTCTGTAGTTTCATGAGTATGAAATCAAGAAGAGACTATCTACTGTGAAACAAACTCAGATAGCTGTTACATTTGAGCTGCATATGGAAGAGGCTATGAGGACATATTCTTAGATGCTAAAAACATTTACTATCCCTAACCTAGCCAGGTTTCTAGCAGGTATTTACCAATGTGAAAGAAAATCCATCAAACTACATATGTAAAATGTATATATTTTAGTGAGTGTAAATTATACATCAAGTAAAAATTAGTAGAAAAAAAAGTGTACACTTTTCAAAATGAAAAACAAAAGACCTGTAGACTAAGGTCACTATCCATAGTGTAAGACCATGGCTAGTTTGATAAACTAATACATTATATACTCAAGTTACAATATGAGGTCTTTCTGTGCTTGGAGGCCAAGTTTAACTATGCTTCTAACATGATTTCTGAAATAGCTTAATTATTATGGTTAATATACCCATGAGCATATGTCCACACATCTGTCACCTGTGTTTTATCATTGTTGGCTATGAAAGTGTCACCTGTCCTGGAGATGTCACCCTCTGCAGGCTTAACTTGCAGTTATTAGAATGCTTTATTCTAAAAAGCTTTAGACATGCTCAGAATATTAATAAAGTATGTCCCTTTTCTGCCTCTACAGGGCTTGTCTAGTGACCCCTCTCATAAGTCAGCCTCATTTTCCATGCCCTGACAATGGTTCTCTTCGTCTATACAGTTCCAAGGAAGGATGACCTGTAAGAGTGGACAGGAGGCAGCTGGCCTCTCTCAATATTCACCAGCCTCTCCTCTCCACCTTTTCCTCTGCCTTTACTTGGACTGGGGTTTCATTATCTCTCACTCATTACAGCAGCTGTATTTCCTATTTGCCTCACTTCTCTTTCTTCCATTACCAGAGACCCCACCTGCCTTGGCCTTTTTAGTGGTTTGTGTGCCAATCCTGTGATCAAGCTCAAACCACTCTACTCAGTAAATGCAACCGTTTTCTGCTACCTCACACCCACGCCACCTCTTGTGTGCATTCTGCTTCATCCAGTATTGTTCCATGGGCACACGACTATGACTGGCATTTCAGGTGGGACAATCCTTCATTGTGCCGAAGTATTCTGTACATTCCAGTAGGTTTAGTATCCCTGGCCCCTGCCCACTGAATGCCTGTGGTACCCACCTTCAGATATTGTGACAACTAAAACATGCCCCGGATGTTTTCAAACACTTTGAGCTGCCCCCTTTCCTATCTACTACCTCCTACTGGTCCTTCATCCCTCCCCTCCAGTGCTGAGCTAAGCCACATAGAGCTGCTTTGGTTATAGTCCAAGAGTGTGACGTTAGCTATTTAATATGGCAAACCTAAATATTCTGTTCTCCTGGAAGCCTTCCCTAATGATGTACAAGTATACCCCCATGACTGCCTGTATTAAAGTGCTTGCCACCAGGCATTGTAATAGCCAGGCTACTTGTCATCCCTTCCTCTTACCACATGGTTTAATCCTAATTAACTATGAGCACATTACCAACTCTTACATCATTTCATCTCTCTAGCACTTGTGTTTGGCTCATAAGGAAACTAACCCTGGGCTGGATGAACCAATGAACAAGCTATTAGGCATACTTTCCCTGATGAATCAAGGTTACTATTCCTGGGCATGGAGATGTCTTCAGGGCATACCGAGCCACTGTTCTTTTTAGATTATCATTAAAAAAACCCACCTCTGGGATACATGGCTGGTGTGTGTGTGTGTGTGTGTGTGTGTGTGTGTGTGTGTGTGTCAGGGAGAGAGAGAGAGAGAGAGAGAGAGAGAGAGAGAGAGAAATGTGCTTTATTGCATCATCATAACTGATTCCAGTGGTTCTTTGTGCTCCTTACAGCCAGAGGCAGACCATTTGGAAGGCTATGGGGGCACACTGGTGAGCCTTCAGAATGATGCCATGAGTTTACTTATTTACGTTAAAATGCTCATACTAATAAACACTGGACTGTGCATCTCAAATATAAGACTATTCTAATATTGGAGGAATGCCTTCCAATTAAAAAAGTGCAACCTTTCTGTTGTAATCCAGGTAGATGAAGACCAGGCCAAGAGGAGCAGAAGCAAAGCAGAAAGCCAGGAAAAATTAGATGAAGATACATTTTTCATCAGAAAAATACTCATGTGTGTTGTACCATAAATAATCTTAATATACACCTGAATAAGTAATATGCAACTCCATCAACAAGTAAGCTTTCAGCATTTTATTTTCAATATATTCATAATTCTTTTCTAATTTATCAGGTAATTGAATCCATTTAAGAGAGAATTAAGTACACCAAAGGAAATTAAATATTTTTACAATAGCTTATTGCCTACAGGAAGGTCCACATAATCTTATTCCCTTAAATGTAATGTTATACCGTATACTAAGCCCTACCACTGCTTGTGGGAAATTAACATTAAATAGCTAAACATAGAAAATCCAGATCTATAAATAACATAAAATACAACTGAACTCTAACATGAGCTTAAACAAGACACACTGTGATGCAATATGAATCAACTTCATCCATTGGACAAATCCAGTGAGACACAAATCAGGTCTGTGCAATGACATGCAGGTGAAGCTTCTAACCCCAGCTTGAGAGCATTTTGTCTTTGGACTCTGTCCAATTCTATTCCAGAAAAGCATCTGATTTTTACATCTTCTTAACTTTTAGCCTATAATGAAAAAGGAAAGTGTAAATTGTAAATAGAGGAATGGATGGTAGGAATGGGTTTGGTATCTAAATGTTACTTCACACACCTTCACTCTCATTGCAATACAAACATCAGCTCAGAGTCTATATGAGGAATTTGAGTCTGAGAAAGGATGGACTTGCTCAACTTAAATAAGCCAGTTAATGATAAAAACAGTGTATGAACACTTATCTCGGATTTCCAAGTTCAGTATATATGGTCCAATAGTGTTAGCTGCCATCTATTAATTAAATGCTACATTACTGATGTAAACCAGAATCACTGGTCTCTTTTTAACTACGTTTGCTTTTCAGGGTTCAGCAACCAACCAGGCTATCAATTATATGAAGAGAAAACATCTTTGCAATGAGAATCAAGTAGCCAATAACTATCAGATACTCAGGGAAATATAATATCACATGATAATAAGAAAAGTTATTGTTAAAATAATAACAAACACAGTGGTGTTGACGTATAAGTACAAAATGCATTCTGTGCTTGCATGGTCTAAGTCAAATTCCCCCTTCTAAAATCCGATGTCTCTAGACTGAAGACCTCCAACAGGTCTGCGGCCTCCAATCTGTGCCCTCCTTTCCCCATCATTTGGGTAGACTGCTTGTCTTTCAGTGATCCATACCTGAGATGGTGCACAGCCCTTTTCACCCACTCCTGCTTTGGATCAGCACACACAGAATACTTCCTTTTTGTGTAAAAGCTGAAAATCAAACATAAGAAAAAATTTTATTTGCATTCAGTAACCACTTAAATGTGTTTGTTTTTCATGGAACACGCAGGGAAGTTCCACATGCTAATTTATTGTCTCATAGACTAAGCATTTGCCTACAGAGATGAGAGGAAAGGGGAAATGTGTATAACAAATCCTGATAGAAGGAATGGAAGAGACTTCTTTAGACTCTCCCTATGATGTAACAGATGACTATAAAATTGCAGAAGATATAGTCCCAGACCTGTCATTTAATGTTGCTGCTGCTGGAGGTTTGTAATATGTATGTATGTGATTAGTAGCTTATATTATTCCAAAATATAACTCCCTAAATGAACCATGAATATTTTAAGTGATATTATTCTTGGCCCATTTTCCAGTAGAAAATGCTGAATTCAAAGGTGTCTTCTACGTATCACATTCAACAAGTTTATTCTAGAAAGTGACTTCTGCCCTGCATGGTGTTTACTTTTCAAAAACTAACAGCTATACTTCAGACTTCCTTTAGTCCTACTTAAATTTCAAAGTACATATGATATAAAGCTATTTTGTTCCATGTATTATTTCTGAGTAAACTGCCAGTAAGTTAAAAAATGTTTCTAAAATGTCCATGTATTCATGACACAGTGGAATTGAAGGTGATGAGAAACTTACATGATAGCATCAATGTCACAAGCTTCATCAGCCAGCTGTTCTGTGAAACCCACAATAGCTTTGTGTGGGATAATGCCTTTTGTGTACCGAAGGCAGCAGTCAAAGTTGCTTGCTGCTAAAAGGAAAATTAAAAGTTGTTGAGCTCACAGGAATGAGTTTTCTTGTCTTTGAAACCTAGTTGAGGATCTTTGAGGTCTAATTTAACATAGTTCCCATATACTATCTTTTTAAAATGGCATTCTGTTATGTTTTGGTTCAACTAACACAGTATACAAGCCCATGACATCTTTAATAAGAAACTCAAATATTTCATTACAATTTGCCATAATCACTCAAGAATATAGATATTTGTCCCCACCACTATCCTTTAACAGTAAAAGATCTTTATAGAAAAGCATTTCATAGTCAGAATATAAGGAGGAGTCAAATGTCATTCTGTCCTCTGGCTGCTAGGTAGGCAGTAGTGAAATTACAAAGAAAAGATTTCTCTGGGGACCACAGAAAAAATTCCAGAGGAAAATGTAGCCATCGGGGCTTGTGTCCGAAGCACCCTAAAATTGTTGTATTTGCTGGTGCAATTTAAATCCCATTCATACAATCACCACATGCTCTCAGGCATGCACCTGTTGCAGATGGAGATATAATAAAGCAATACTTGGGCACTTCTAGGAGTTAAAGTGTAACCTGCTGTAAGGTACTAGATAAATGTTATCTCAAGAGTTGGAGAACAATGTCTTCCAGGCCTCACAGGGACACGGAGGTCAAGTTTCACAGTCTGAACTTTAAAGGGAAATTATGGACTTTGCTAACATTTCGTAGTTGGGAGGTTAAAAAAAAAAAAGTCTGAAAGTAAAATGTTTAAAATGTTCTCCACATTTCTGAATGACCATATAGCCTGTGAATGTCACACTCAAAATATCACTGCCAGAAAAGGCACTTGGGCATTGTCCTGAAGTTGAAGTATCTCTGAAAGCCATTCACTCTCCAAATATGCTAGAATTGACAGCAGAGAAGATCCCTGGTTGCTAGCTAGCATCCACTAGCATCCACTCTTTCCTCCTCCTCTTGGCCATAAGCCAGCCAGTCCTTCTCACACGCTTTTTTAGCAGACTGCTGTCCACACAGCACCCCAAGACAAGGCCTAGGGGACAAGAAAACTTTTGTCCCTCCTGAACCAGCAGAAGGGGACACACTTACCTTCTGACTGGCCATAGAAGTGAGCTAGCAGCATCCCTGACAAGGCAAGGATGAGCAGGCTCTTGCCAATGCAGGGCATTCTCAGCTTCAGGACTGATCTGCTCAGGGCTAAGTGCTCAGTGCTGGGTACCCCGTGCCCTGTCAGTGTTCTGCTCCAGCATCCAGCAGCAGCCCTACTTATAGCAAAACATTGGGAATGTACACAAGAAGGCGTGTTCTCATTCGGGATTTTCCCCCATTGATTAATCTGCCTCCTCGTGTCATCACAAAGAAAACTCACAGGGAAAACTTCCTGCCTTTCCCTAATGTTGGGAAGGTATAAAGGTCAGGTGGGGGCTGGGGAGGGACAGGGAGAAGAGGGGAGAGGTGGAGAGAGGAGGGGCCAGCAAGGGAGGGGAGAATCAAGTTAATTCCTCTCCATGTAGGAAGAAGAAAGGCAGCTCAGACTCATGGCTCAGAAATGGCATCTATCCAGGTTTAACTTAATCTCTCTCTCTCTCTCTCTCTCTTTTTTCTTGCTCTCTCTGAAAGAGAGGAACAGCCTCTGAATGGGAGCAAATTCATACTACTGTTGTTACATCAGTTTCCTTCCCACAGCCAGCCCTGGAGGGGGAAGATCAGGCATGCTGCAACACAAGTTTGTGATTACACGATTGATATTTAGCAGTCACAGAAGATTCCGAATTTCTAGACCAACATCCAGAGCAGGTTGTAAAGCAGCATGGCAGAAGTGTCCCAAACTATTACGGAAAATACCAGCCTCACTAGCTCCCCTCAAGCAGAAGCTTCCTCTCAATTTTACATCAACATCTCTAAGAACCATCAATATTGGTATGCCTTTAATTGATACTGCAGCCCAGAAAATTACCCCCACCTGGCTTTTGTTTCTTTGTGATGATGTACTTATTACAGAACCTAAGGGAGGGAAGAGAGAAAGCACTATTAGCAATGGCCAATCTGAAAAACACCCCCAAAATGCTAATGCTGATAATAATAATGTATTGAGGTCCCTAGTATATGATACGAGCTGTCTATCAGGAAAAAAATTGAGTGGAAGTAAAAGAATCCCCCCTCCCCCGCCCAAAAAGATAACTGGTTTTGCTATCCATGTGCTAGAAATGATAGAGTTTAGACAAAACAGATAGACACTGTTCCGGATAAGGAGGGATGCTCAGACTATTAGAGGATTTATACTTCAGGAATTTAGGAATGCACATATGAAAGTTATGGACATATACATACAGAACAATCCTGCCACTAAATACATGACACAAAAATTGACAGAGCTGAAGAGAAGAAAAGAAACTTCAATAATACAAATTGAAGACTACAATTCTACACTTTTCAGTGGACTTAAACAGCACTCTAAATCAATTAAACAACAGACATCTTTAGAACATTCTGTCCAGAAATAAGATAGTCATTTCTCTCAGTTGCAGACAAAAGAATCTCCAAGATAAATTACATGGTAGATTACTGAATAAGTCCTAATGAATTTTATAAGTGTTTAAATAATAGTTTTTTAAAAATACACATACATTAAAATTAAGCCATTAATCAATAAAAGAAGGAAATTTGGGGATTCACAAATATATAAAAATTGATTGACATGTTCCTAAATAACCATGTCAAAAAAAAAAATCACAAGAAGTAAGAAAATACTTTGAGATGAATGAAAACAAAAATTTAAGACAGTGCTAGCCAATAAGAAGCTCTAGCCATTGGCCAACAGGTTTATAGCTAGTAGAGTCTTTGTGTGTTATTTTGGGACCCACTCAACTCTGGGACCAGGCTGGTGGGAAAGTGTTCGTAACAAATACAGCTTTCCAAAACTGAGGTGAGGCTGTGAGAACAGATGCTTAGAGCAATATCTGTATTAAAACCAAGAAGGATGTCAAGTGAGTTACCTTACCTTCCACTTCTACTGGAAAAAGTAGAGCAAGTTGAACCCAAGGCAGTCAAAGGGGAAACCGGTAATGACTAGAGGAGAGAAATGGAGGCACAGGATAGCAACACAGCAGAGGAAGTGGATGGGACCCAAACCTTATTCTTAGTCATAGCTGACATTAGCAGGCTTTAATTACAATAACCATATAAGTAGAAAAGAAAATTTCTCAGGAATGGAAACACTACTGACTTTAAAGAAACTCTAGAATTGTCAGCGAAAACTGTGGACCACTGCATGCCAAGCAAACATACAACATGAATGAAATGACCACATTTGTGAAACTGAGTGGGAACTAGAATAGAATATTGAATAAATTTAAATGAGGGATCGTATTAGTAAGCATAGTTTTTTGTTTGTTCTACAAACAAAATCCCAGGATCAGATAGGTTCACTGGTAAGTTCTGTCAAACAGTCAATGACAAATCACTGTCAAGCTTCCACAGCTTTAACAAAAAGTCAGGAGAGAAAATTTCCAAATTATTCTGTGATACAATGTTGCCAGACAACAATACAATGGGAGAAAGAACTCACAGTGCCTCTTGTGAAAATAGACACTCAAAGGGCCATTAAAAGAATGCTCTGCCGGGGAGGAATGATGAGCAAGAGTTCAAAACCAGGCTGGAGAAACCCACAGAAACTGCTGACCTGAACAGTGGGGAGTACTCCAGTCTGATAGCTGGGAAATCAGCATAGGACCGACCCAGACCTCCTGAATGTGGGTGTTAGTTAGAAAGACTGGGCAGTCTACTGGGCTTCTGGTAGTGGGTGAGTATTTATCCCTAGTATATGAATGGACTTTGGGAGCCCATTCCACATAGAAGGATACTCCCTCAGTTTAGACACATGGGGGAGGGCCTAGGCTTTGCTCCAAATGATATGTCAGACTTTGAAGACTCCCTATGGAAGGCTTTACCCCCCTGGGGAGCAGAAAGGGGATGGGATGGGGGTTGGTGGGAGGGACAGGGAGGACAGGAGGGTGCAGGAACTGGGATTAATATGTAAAACAGGCTTGTTTCAAATTTAAATTTAAAAAAATTATTAAAACAAAAAATAAAAAATAAAAAATAAACTTGCTCTGCTTTGCCAAGGACCCTAGTTCTCAGTTCCCAGCATCTAATTGAGGAAGCTCACCTCTAACTCCAGCTAAAGGGAATCCAATATCATCTTCTACTCTCACGGACACATCTGTATACATAATTAAGAATAAGATAAATCTTTTTATGAAAATTTTACAAAGAAACAGACATGGAAGCCCTCAACAGTACAATTGAATCAACTCAATTATATAATGGAATTATGTATCACACCTAAATGGGGTTCATTATACCAGCCAACTAGAACATTGGGCACCCCAGAGGGTATGGAAATGTACTGCAACATTAAAAAAAAAAATTCATTTGAAGAAATACTTGGTAGACTCTAATGTTTACTCATGATAAAAATATTCAACAATCTAGGAGTCATAGAGAAATTCCTCAATCTGATAAAGTTGTTGTGTGAAAACCCCAGAGTGAATGTCACGCTTACTCTTGAAAGGCATAATACTTGATCCTGAGGGCATGAACAAGACAAGGATGTCTGCTATCACCAGTGTTATTTAGCACTGTACTGGATTTGCAAGCACAACTAAATAGGCATAAATCAAGAAAGGATGGGGCACCCAGATGATAAAGGAAGTAGGAACTGAATAAATGTACAGGTAATATAAATTTGTACATGAAAAATCCTTTTTTAAATCCTCTAATATGATTAAAACTGGCAAACAAGTTCATTGAGGTCCAAGAATCAATCTCACTATACAAAAGCAATTGTATGTCTATATACTATCAGTGAATATTCTGAAAATACAACTAAGAAAATAACCTAGTGACACCATCAAAAAGAATAAAATATGAGCTGGTGGCATATGCCTATAATAGCAACTCAAAAAATAAAAAGAATAAAATGGCCATAAATTTGAGCAAAGAATGAACCAGCCAGATGGCTCAGCAGAGGAAGGACATTTGTTTTTAGGTTTTATTTTTATTAATTTTTTTCATTTAAATTAACAACAATCTTATTTTACATACCAATCCCAGTTCCCTCTCCCTCCTCCCACTGCCCCCACCATCTCCCCATCCCCCCTCCCATCCACTCCTCAGAGAGGGTGAGGCTTCCCATGGGAGATCATCAAAGTCTGTCACATCATTTGGAACAGGACCTAGGCCCTACCTCCCCCCCCCCCCATATCTGGGCTCAGAGAATATCCCTTCATAGGGAATAGGCTCCAAAAAATAAGTTCATGCACTAGGAATCAATACCGGTTCCACTGCCAGTATCCCCATTGACTGCCTAAGCCCCCAAACTAACACTCATGTTCAAGGGGGTTAGTTCAATCTTATGCAAGTTCCCCGGCTGTCAGTCTGGAGTCTGTGAACTCCCCCTTGTTCGGGTCAGCTGTTTCTGTGGGTTTCCCCAGCCTGCTCTTGACCCCTTTGCTCATCACTCCTCCCTCTCTACAAGTGGACTCTAGGAGTTCGGCTCAGTGCTTAGCTGTGGACCTCTTTCTGCTTCCATCAGCTACTAGGTGAAGGCTCTATGATGGCATTTAAGGTAAAAAAAAAAAGGGGGGGGGGAGGGAATGACATCTTGAAATTTGTAGTCAAATGGATCAAATGAGAAGAAACCATCTGCAGTGAGGTAACCCAGACACAGAAAGACAGACATGGTGTGGGTATTAGACATAGAGCAAAGGATAACCAGCCTACAATCCACAACCCCAGAGAAGCAAAGAAACAAGGAGGGCCCTAAGACAGACATACATGGATCCCTGAAAAGGGGAAAGAGACAAGATCTCCTGAATAAATTGGGAGCATGGGGAGAAGGGAAAAGAGGTAGGAGGGAGGGGAGGGCCTGACCTCCTATGTTTGGTCCACAGAACACACATGATGGAAACAGAGAACCATTCATTCCTGCAGTTTATCTTCTGACCTCCACATGCACATGGCTGGCATATGCACACTCACAGGAACATGCATCATAAATATTTCTTTTAATCTGACAGAAATAATAATAAACTACAAGAAAAATCATTAAGCAATTAAGAGAAGATATATAAACAGAAACATAATCCATCTCCACAAAATAGACTTGATATCATTAAGATGACCATATTCACTACAATGATCTGTATATTCAATGCAATTCCCATTTAAAGTCAAGTTATCTTTTTCTTAGAAATAGAAGAAAATAAACAGCACTTAAAATAATATGGAAGGAATATGGATCCTGAATGGCCCAGAGTCTTGAAAAG